AGATTTATTTACCTTCTATAATTGAAACATTGTTGCCATCACTGGCGCTCCCAGCTCTGAGGCCGCGGCAGGCTGAAAGCAGGTATCTGGGGTTTGTTTAGCTTCTATAATTGAAACATTGTTGCTTTGGAGCTCAGAGCCGGAGGCGGGGAGCCTTGGCTTCCTCCATCACTGAAGCAAGCAAGCCTCATGTTCGCTTCAGCTGCGTGGCTGCGGCTGCCATCTTGGTTAGCAGTTAATTTGCATATCGCCCTGATTAGCCAATGGGAAGCATAGCGGAGGTACGGTTAATTACCCTTTTTGTCTTTTATTAGATAGGATAATAGTGAATAAAGTACTAATGATGCTACAATGTGGATATACCTTGAAAACATTAGACTAAGTGAAAAAAACCTTAACAGAAAGGTCACATATTGCATGATTTTATTTATATGAAATATCCGTAATTGGTAAATCCATACAGACAGAAAGCAGATGATAGGTGCCTGAGGCTGAGGAAACGGGGTGCAGGTTGGGGAGATATGGGTGACAGTTTAATGGGGTTTTCTTGTGGGGTAATGAAATGTTTTGGAACTAGAGGAGTTGGTGGTTCCATAACATTGTGAATATATTAAATGCCACTGAATTGTACACTAAAAAGTTAATCTTATGTGAATTACACTTCAATTTTTTAAAACAAGAAAAGAAATTATACCCATATCCCCTTCTGTCAAACATATACATTTCAGACTCTCTTTAAATGTTTTTAAAATTTAAAAGAACACTTGGGTTATAAACTAATCAACTGATGTCTTTGAAAGGCACTGGCTTATACTATACATGTACTCCCTGCTCACCACTTACCATCTGAGAGTCACTGTCCCAGATACAGCACTAAATTATTCCACTGGGGCCCACCTTTCCTGCCTTTGCTCTTGCAGTTTCCTATATAGAGTAAAGGGCATTCAGTTCTTCATGCCCATGGACACAACAATCTCTCAATCTACAACAGGGGATCTCAACTTTAACTGCACATCAGAATCACTTCCGGGAACGTTTAAAAAATAAACACCTCATGTCTGGGCTCCATCAACTGAATCGGAATTTCTAGGGGAGAGGCCAAGAATCTGGAGGTTAGGAGGTCATTTTCAAAACTTCCCAGATGACACTAGTGTATAGCAGTCAGGGTTGAGAATAACTTAGCTAGAATATTTTATAACCACTTCCCTTTAGCCAAGTGTAGTGCTTTCTAAACTCCAATCATTCTTGTATCAGTTTTGGAAAGTTCTGTTTTTCTAGAAATTTATCCATTTCATTTGAATTTCAAACTTATTGGCATAAAGTTGTTTATAAGATCTTATCTTTTAATGTCTGTATATCTGTAATGACACCTTTTTTTCTTCACTTATATTAGTTATTTTGCCTGTCTCTTCTCTTTCTCAATAGTCCTCCCTGAGGGCTTATCAATTCCTAGCTGTTTCAGACTAGAACTTTTGCCTGTATTATTTTTTAAGGTACATTTGTCCATTTAATTTCTGCTCTTATCTTATTATTTCTTTCATTATACTTTCATAGGACTTAACTACCTCTTCTTTCTCTAGATGTTTCAGGAGACTTAGATGATTAATTTTTACATCTTTCTTTTTTTCTAATATATGCAATTGAGGGTATAAATTTCCCTCTGAGCAAAGATTTAGCTGCACCTTACAAAGTTTCATATGCTGTATTCTCATTATTATTGTTTTAAATAATTTCAAACTTCCTTTATAATTTCTTCTTTAGTCTATAGGTTAAAGAGAAGTATACTACTTAATATCCACACATTTAGGGATTATTGATTTCCAATAAATTCCACTGTGGTCAGTAAACATATTATGAATTACTTTAATCTTATGAAATTTGTTGAAGCCCAGCATAATCAATTTTAGTAAATGTTTCAAGTGTGTCTGAAAGGAATGTATATCCTATAATCTTTGGTGCAATATTTTTTACCTATAACTTAGATCAAGCTTACTAATTGTTCTATTCAGGTCTTTTAGATTCTGATTTTTTTTTTGTCTGCTTATTCTAATAGTTAAAGAAAGGAAATTTAAAGTCCTTTCTGCTATGACTGTGGATTTCCTTGTAGTTCTGTTAACTTTTATCTAAATATTTGAAGTTATGGCCGTAAAATATATATATTTTACTTAGTTTGCTAATTTCCTGAGAGGTATCCCAGTGACCTAAAAGAGTTTTACAACTTATAAAAGTGCTTATTAGTCTCCATAGTGTCATTTACACAGTAGGGAAAAAAATGGTTCATTATCTCACAAACATACATTACAAGCAAAGAAATTAATAGTTGCAATGACATTTTTGATTACTTAAAACTGGGTTACAATAAAAGGAGGGTTTCTAAAGTGAAATTTATCTGAAGAAAGACAAACATTATCATCCAATATTTTTTTCCCTAATTTTTTTCAAAAAAAGTATTCATCTATAAAACTACATATATATTTGGAATTGACTGTATTCTCATAAAATGTCCCACTTAATTGCCTTAAATTTCACTTTTTAAATTTCACTGTCTAGCCGAAACCGGTTTGGCTCAGTGGATAGAGCATCAGCCTGCGGACTGAAAGGTCCCAGGTTCGATTCCGGTCAAGGGCATGTACCTAGGTTTCGGACACATCCCCAGTAGGAGATGTGCAGGAGGCAGCTGATCGATGTTTCTCTCTCATCGATGTTTCTAGCTCTCTATCTCTCTCCCTTCCTCTCTGTAAAAAATCAATAAAATATATTTTAAAAAAAATTTCACTGTCTAAATACTAGGGTTCCCTTTTCTCCACATCCTCACCAGCACTTATTTGTTGATTTATTGATGGTAGCCATTCCTCATTGTGGTTTTAATTTGCATCTTTCTAATGATTAGTGACATTGAGTATTTTTTCATAGGTTTTTTCAGCCTGACAATATTTATTAACATTTACATTTAATGTAATTACAGAATAAGTTTGAGTTCATATCTACAGATTTACTATTTGTTTAGGTTTGAAATTAATGTTCATTTTCCTTTCCTTTGTTTGGATTAATCAAGTATTTAATTTTTTTCCATTTATCTCCCCATCTCCCCTATTAAGTTTTTGCTTGTACAAAATAACTTTTAATGGTTATGAGATTATAACATGTATCCTTGATTTATTAGAGTCTAATATAAGTTAGGATTTTACCAAAATCCAGATAATACTAGGATCTTAGAACACTTTAACTCCATTTCTACTTCCCAACTTTTGTGTTACTCATGCATTACAATTCTAAATATATTATACTTAATAAGATATTCCCTTTTCTTTTTAGTCTAAATTAATTTAGAAATACTCATATTTACTCTTTGTTCCTTCTTGCATTTCCAAATTTCTGTGTGAGATTATTTTTATTCTGCTTTTAGGTATTTCCACTTAGTATAGGTATTTTCTCAGTTGTGATGGTCTGAAATGTTTTTATTTTTGCCTTTACTTTTGAGGGATATATTCACTGAATATAGAATTCTAAATTGGCAATATTGTTTTATAGTACTTTTAAAATGTCATTGCATCAACTTCTGGCTCTCAATGTTTCTATTGAGAAATTAGCTTTCAGTCTTATTATTGCTCTTTTGACACTTAGTCTGTCTTTTTTCCTAAGTACTTTTAATATTCTCACTTGGTCTTTGGTTTACAGCTGTTTCACAATAATTTCCCTAAGTACTTTGGCTCTGTATTTACTTTATGCTATATTTAATGTTTCTTGAATTCATAGCTTGATGCCTCATCAATCTGAAAAATGCTGTCTTTAATTCTTAAAATATTGCATTTATCCTGTGTGCTCTTTTTTTCTTCTCTGTGACTCCAATTATAAGTATATAAGCTCTTTTGGTTGTGTCCTACACATGTCTAGCATATTTCTATACAATACATCTTTTTTGTTTTTTTGTGCTTTGGTAAGGATATTTTCTACTGACATATCCTCCAGTTTACTAATCCATTTTTCAGATATGTACAATCTGTTGTTAAGTCTCTCATTCTTTTTCTGATTGTCTTTCTGATAAATCTTTTACCTCTTTCATTTGTTGACTAACAGGAAAGAAGTACTATATGAATATTTGCAGAATTATTATACTTGTCCTCACAAAAGCAAATTAAACTTAAATGAGTCAATTTTGCTATCATTAGCAACTTTAACAAGTGCAGGAGTAGGTCCATTACAATCTAAATGAATGAATGACTATATTCTATTTAAAAGAAACAGAACTGGTGCAGCCACTGTGGAAAACAGTATGGAGTTTCCTCAAAAAACTAAAAATGGAACTCCCATTTGACCCAGTGATCCCACTTCTAGGAATATATCTCAAGAAATTAGAAACACCAATCAGAAAGGATATATGCACCCCTATGTTCATAACGGCACAATTCACCATAGGTAAGATTTGGAAACAGCCTAAGTGCCCATCAGCAGATGAGTGGATTAAAAAACTGTGGTACATATACACAATGGAATACTATGCTCGGTAAAAAGGAAAGGAATTCTTACTACTTGCAACAGCATGGATGGAACTGGAGACCATTATGCTAAGCGAAATAAGCCAGTCAGAGAAAGATAAATATCACATGATATCACTCATTTATGGAATATAATGAACATAAACTGATGAACAAAAACAGATCCAGAGACAGAGAAGCATCAATCAAACCGTCAAACCTCAGAGGGAAGGTAGGGGCGGGTGGGGGTAAGGGGGAGAGATCTACCAAAGGACTTGTATGCATGCATATAAGCCTAACCAATGGACACAGCAACAGGGGGGTGAGGGCATGAGTAGGAGGGGGAAGAAATGGGGGGATAAGGACACCTTAATCAATAAAGAAATTTAAAAAATAAATAAAAGAAACAGAATTTTACAAAGTATATATAAAAATTACCACAATCTAATCACATTTTATGTTTTTAATATACTCCATGTTTTATACTGGCTTGATATTAAAAATATATTTTAAAAAGATACTTACTCTCTCTCCTTTTCTGTCAGCTTGTCATTGATATTATCTTTGATTGTTGATCTAGATCCCTTATGAATTATAGGATATCTGAGGGGCACTTGCAGGAAAAAGGAAATCATGGAGACCAAATGTGCAGTGTAACCAAGGGCAACAGCAATGCTTCCATCATCTTTTGCTGTAGATTAAAAGCAAAAGAAAACAATTATTTACCTTCTAAATGTAGCTATGAGATCATAATGAATCAATTTCAAAGGAGATTTTATTAAGAAATAACTGGTAAATAAAATATTAATCTTATCTAAATTACATAGTTTACATTTATAATCTTAAACTCAATTATACATTTATATTATAAACTTAATTCAATTATATGAATTTTAGACAAATCTAAACACACTTAAAATTTACTTTACTATATTTAAAACTATTTCCCAATAATTAATGTGGTGAGATTAACATTTGATATATATTTAAAGAATTCTTAATATATTCAAATATTCATTACTTCCTTTCCCAGCATTTTTAAAGGTAGAAATAATAGTTGAGTCTATTATACAATGTGAAAGTTAGTTTCAGAGGTTTAAACATAACTCATTATATAAGCACTGTACATTTTATTCATTAACAACTTATAAGCAATATAGTTGTGCTGCTATACTACTATACAGCATTATGAATTCTAATATGAAGTGAAATAGCATAATCTTTTATAGGGTATGTTCTCAATATTCATAAAGATAGTGTTGCATAAATAAGTTGATAAAGTTTGAAATATAATAAGGGGGGAAATGTTTTAAATAGTAAAAGCAAAAAATTAAAAAGCCACACTGTTAATATATCCTATTTATGTAATTAAATGGAAGCAACTGTTGAAAAATGCATGCACCCTCCAGTCAAACATAAGTAACTGTCTTTTAAGAAGTCACAGAATTATATTTTTAACTCACCAACCAGATTTCTGCTACCACCTACCAAGTGATAATCAATTAGGCACTCAAAACAGAGTAATACAACAAAAAGTTTAAACTTGACACAGGAGGAAGAAAAAAGTAACTGCTTGGTATATGGTATTCCCAAAATACTTAAAAAATTTCACACACAAACACACACACACGTGCACATATACTAAAAGATTTCACACATCATCTGGAATACCTCCAACCAAAGAAAGGCTGAAATACTTGAGATGGCCTTGGCTTGAATATTTCCTGATTTCTAAGGGTACATTTAACTTCAATTATTAGTAATACTATTCACATTCCTCTTTTATATTTATACTTAGTTATCTAAGCATTATCTTCTTGTTGTAGGAATGCCATTATACTAGTAGCCATCTAGTCCTCAGTGAATTCTCTACCCTTGACTTCCATAGCAGACCCTTGGTTTCTCTTGAATCATATTATAAAAATAGGTAACTTTTATGATATACTTTTCTTCCACCAGAATTGACCATAATACTTTATTTGCAACAGTCCTTCATTCATCAAAAATTACTAAACTGGGGACTTTTTATATGCTATGTCATTCATTTTTCAGCTTAAGAAACTAAGGCTCAAAGAAGGTAAGAAACCTGTCCAAGTAATACGGCTAGTCTACAGGTGACTTGACACTGCCTCTGTCCTCTAGGCATTCTAGCATACTGTCCCAGAACTTAACTGTGGAATACATTTTTTAACTTGGAAGCCTAGAACATATCAAGCATATGACACACATGTACCACCTGAGTTTCTTTGCTCTTTTCTATGAATGGCAAAGAACATATAAAAAGTCTGTGAGTCCTCAGTGGCTTGTATAGAACCAGACAGAGAATGGACTTCTCAACCAATGTTTGATGTTCTCTCAAATCAAACTGATGAAAAAAAATATCAAACAGCATTCATTTCAACTGACAGCTCTGAGTCATGTCCTAACTGACTAGAATCCTATTTTTATTCCTATTTTTAAAGACCTTGTCCTCTTGCCCCAGTCCCACCCAAGTACCTTGAATACCGCAGCACTCTGCTTCTATTGAAATCTGTATATCACACTACCTTTGAGATTAACATTACATTACACTGTAAAGTCATCACATTTACAATTTAATCATGTATTAGAGCTAGGAGAAACCTTAAAAACCACTGAGTCTAATGCTATCCATTTAGAGATGAAAAGAAAACGAGATCTAGGTGATATAAGTTGCTTAGTCAAAGCCATACAGATAAAAACCATGAGTGATGGAATGAGAGGGAGAACTATACCCAGGCCCCCAAAATATCCATCTGTGGAGTCACAGCTGGAATGTTGAGCTGCATCAGAGGTTGCTGAATCTGTAAAGAGGCTTATCAAACATAAAATACCCAAGGACTTGGTCTTTAAGAGCCTTCTCTGGAAGGGAGAGGAGATGAAGAAGAGGGCTTACAGTAATGAAGGATCTGTAAGCCCTAAATCTGAACTTTCCTGTATGTGCTTCACACTAAACTTGTTCTTTCCTATATGACCTGACAGAAGCAACAGAAGGCCTTTTAATTAGCCTCCCAAAGAGGTCAAATGCAAACTACAAATGTTTAAAAAAAACAACTCTCCAATGCTAAACACTCAAGCATCCACCTTTTTTCCATATTACTAAAGGAGTAATACTAAAGAATTACATTTGCATATTTTGAGACTACATCCACATAGCTATTAAAAAAACAAAAATTGGTCTTCTAACATCACCTCTTTTCAATGATCGAAACAAGTTTGCTTAAATTTAATGATAAAAAGGTATCTCCAAGAAGCCTACATATGCAAATTAAAAACCAAAAAGAAATAGCAAAAACTAGAAACTGGATAATATTGGAAATTAGCTTTGATTCTGGTCATTCACACTCACCATCGTTTCCACCACAAGACTCCCCGTTCCCCCTATTAAAAACCCCAGGTTGTTTCCTCTTCCAGACCAGAGTGCTCAGTCACAGCCTCACTGTTAAACACCAGGGTGTTGGATTTCCAATATTAAAGCTTTATATTAAAAAACATTTTACAAGGACCACGGGTGAGGCATTACAGGGCCCAAGGGTATTCCAATACCCTCAAAAGGAAAACCACCTCCTGGTAGGGAAGTCACTTTCATCACCCCAAGACCACTGAACCTCCAGTGGGAAAATGTGAGCTCATGTGGTTAATTATGGCTATTGCTGGCCACAAAACCTCAGATGTCACATTCTGTTGCCAATCACTTTAGCTAAAAAACCAAAAGGTTTAAGGTTTCCAGCATTCCAAGATCTAAAAGACTTTTTACCTGCCAAAGCCAAAACCTGGCTCTCTGGGGTGTACTTTTCCAGTAAGCATTAATGACGTCCCTAACACCTAATGCAGAGCAGAGGTCTGTCTGTGTTCCTTGTGCTGCTCTGGGGGTTAGAAAGGTCACAGATGATAGTTTTGTCGGTGAGAAGTTGGAGGGGGAGTTCAGGGAGGAACAGGAATAAACTGTAAGACTCAGGTACGTAAAAAAAAAAAAAAAAAAATCCTAAAAAAAACACAATGTTTTAAGTGGCTTCAAACAAAATAAAAATCTGCAATTTCCTCATAATAAATATTTCTGATTTGTTTTTTAAATGCTGGTGGTTACTCAGGGTTGCAGCTGTTGTGTAACTTTTTGATAATAAATTCCACAAATACACACTCTCCATGACAACATTATAAATTAATTCAAATGTCTCTTTGACTTATATGCTGGACAAACTATCAATGTTCAAATGCATCCGTGTACAATAAGTGATCTAAAAGCTCTTACCATCCTGCCTTCCCAATCACTGAGGCAGCTGATTCGATAAGGAACCAAGCACCCACTGATCCAGACAGGACAAAATATTTAAGACTCTAATCACTGCCACAGCATCTATGGAATCATTCCATGTTCTCAATGAGACACTGTTTGACATATGGACTCTCCTTTCCAAGAAATCAAGCCTGCATAAAGGGATACAGACACAGAAGGAAATCTGGGTCTCATTACCACAAAAGGCTCTGGTGTTATGGATTACTTAAAAAGACACACAAACTTTTTTTTTTATACAAGAAATGTCTCTGTCAATGGAACTCAAATGAATACCTTCACCGGACAACGTACTCCCGTTGGGTGCTGGTCTCTGACATACTCTAACAGCAAGTTACCCATTTAGAAAGGCACAGTACATTTTGGGCCACTGTGGCGGAGTTTCCCAAACAGTATTAAGCCATGCAATGTAAAGTCTATCCCAGCAAAGTCTCACGAATCACATAGGATAACCAGTTTGGAATTCCTTCACTAGAGTCTCACCGAGAATGCATCTGTTACAGAACATTACTGGCTGGCAGAAGTTTGGAAGAGGTTATTACTCAAAACAAGGAAGAAAAGTGCATCATGACAGGAATAATATGTACCTTAAAATCGGGCTGACCAGGGATGACTTTAGTTCTGCCACTGGTTAGCATGAGTCTTTGGAAAAATTAACTACTCTCTGAGCCTCAATTTTTTTGTCTTAAAAAAAAAATGGAATGTAATTTCTTCCCTCACAGAACATTTAATTAACAAGATAGCATTGTGCATGATATTCCCTGCTATCATATTTCTACTCACCCAATCTAAAATGTCCTGCTACCCTTCACTCAACAGGGGGATACTATTTCATTTTTTTAAGACACTCAGCCACCATCTTTGCTAAAAAGGCTTTTCTGATCCCCTCCTGATAGACTGATTATGCCCACTTCTTTGAGTCTCATGTATCTGGGATAATTTCTAAATGCCTGACACAGAGTATGAATGCAATAAATATTTCTTGATTACAAGTGGGATAGCCTCAACTGGACTGAAACTTCACTGAGGTAGGATCAATGTCTTAATCATCTTTGTATACCCTCAGCACCTGGCACAGTAGGTGACACACACAGGGCACTCAGTAAATTGAGTATATGGAAATGCCTTGCAGAATGCTAACATACAATTCTAACGTCCAATACCACCATATGTGCTTCTTAAAATGTCTGATTCCCAGGAGTTATGGGGCATGAATAGGGCCTTAGAGTGAAAGTAAATACTTATTTCATTTTATCTCCCATTTCACTTTTCCAGCAACTGCACTAAAAAGCTG